AAGCATGGTGGCATGCAGCAGACATGGTGCTGGAGAAGGAGCAGAAGTTCGACACCTGGATTCACAGGCAGCACGATGAGACTGTAAATCACTAGACCTGGCTTGAGCTCCTAAAAGCACAAAGCTTATCCCCGATGAAAAACTTCCTCCACTAAAGCCACACCCACTCCAGCAAGGCCACACCTCCTAATAGTACCACTCTGTACAGGCTTATGGGGAGCATGTGTATTGAAACCACCACAGATGGTTTGACTGGCCAGCATCCCTTCCTATGAGAAGCTATTCTTCTGTCACTTGACATAGTCCCTGGAGTGGGCACTATGTAGCCAGGCTGGACAATCAAAAGAGCCATCCCTCTGCTTAGTGGTTGGTTTGAAGATGGGCCCATGACATAGTTGGGTTAATGATAGACTTCCTGAGGACATTGATTTATACTAGGTCTACTGAAGAGGAAATTACTGCTCTTTGCCAAAATGTGGGGAACATTCTTGTGAGGAGGAAAAATAGGAAATGTTGAATTTTGTGGGGCTGGAGAGATGGCTCAGCAGTTATGAGCACTGTCTATTCTTCCAGAGGTCCTGAGTTCAATTCCCAGCAACCATATGGTGTTTCACAGCCATCCATACAAGGATATGTTGCACTCTTCTGTCACATAGGTGTATATGTAGATAGAGTAATCATATACATTACATAAAATAAATTGAAAAAAAAAAAAAGAATTGCTGGACTCCATTGTCCCCAGTGCTGGAAAGAGCTTTTCCATTATATGGAGGCCTGTGTTTCAAACTAGGATCCTTAATTTTCTGACAGAATGATGGTAGACAGGCCATTCAACCTCTCTGAAATTTGGTACCCTATCTATAGGGTGGAATGATGTCTTTCCAGGCATCTTTACATTCTAGTGTGGCTATATGTAAAAATGGCTGTTAAATAGTAAATTATTGATAATGTTCCTGGTTTATTTTGATTTAGTTTCATCCTATGGATATCTAGCTCTTAGTTGGAACAATGCTTTTGTAAACAAAAGCATTTTTAGTCTTTGAACACAAGTCCTGGCGTGAGACCATGCCATGTGGGTTGCTGTCCTGCATTATTTTTTACTTCTTCACATGATAAAAGTTTACTTTCTGGAAGCTTCTAATAGAACAGATTTTTTTCCAGATTCCTTGGGAAAGCCATGCCCTGCTGTACTTTTTCTGAGATAAATATTATTTACATCATAACAATTTAGCAGTCACCCCAAAATATGGCCAAATAGACCATGAATGGACCCTGGAAGATTGATCAAAAAACTCTCATTCCAATATGGTCCCCAATCTGTTCTGCTTCCCACAGGTGGACCAAGCAATATAGTGAGATTTGTTGGTTTGTTTTGTTTTTCAAGACACGGTTTCTCTATGTAGCCTTGGCTTTGTAGACCAAGCTGGCCTCGAACTCACAGAGATCTGCCTGCCTCTGCCTCCCAGTGGTGGCATTTGCCACCATGCCTGCTGGTCTCTCTTCTCATGATGCACACAGCAGCTAGGCAGCTCATTCCATGAACTTGCCTTGTGCTTCTGCATTCAAGTACCTAACGATAGTGACTCTGCCTGGTTAGTTATTACTACGTGATCCCCATGGAAGCTCTTTGTTAATTAAAGTCATATTCTTTTCTACTACACACATATAAATTCTCAGTATCAAGGGAGATATTAAAAATAAACTTTGTGTTTCTTGTAAGAGATAAAACTTATTTGTTGTCACAACATTAAACTGAGAACTCCTGGATGGTGACCGAAATTTCAGACTCTGAAAAGATTACAGCTGGATCATACCAGGCATGTGATTGGTCTTTGTGACTTTTAGAATGGAATGTGAGGGTGATCCTTTCAATGGATTACACGTACAGGGCCACAGTTAATTTTGCAACATTCCTAAAACCTAGACAACATGGCCATTTGTGTCCGTCTGATTTTTGATCGTCGTGAAATACTTGAGAAGATAACTCACAAGGAAAAGGATTGGCTCATGATCTTAGGGTTCTCAGTCCATGGCTGTTCAGCTCTGTTAATTCTGGGTTGTGGTGAGCATATCAGGTCAGGAGGACATGAGAGAGCAGAGACGCTCACGTCATGACAGCCAGGAAGAAGAGAGGAGGAATGGAAGGGGCCATCACAGTTATACCTTTCAATGACACTACCGAGTGACCTAATTTCTCCAAAATTCCTCTTGTTTCACAGTTCTACACCCTCCCAGTAGCTTATTCAGATTTTGAATCTATCAGTGGATTAAGCCATCAACGAAGATACAGCCTGCCCAATCCAGTCACTTCTGAAATATATTATCTCTGAGTACTGCTTGCATCCAGAACTAAGTCTTCAATGTATGATCCTTCTTGGGCATGTGGGGAGGGGATTTGTATCTGAACCATAACACTCTATCTCAACAGGAGGAAATTCAGGTTTGTCCAAATCATTTGTCCAAAGCATCAGCCCTTGTGGGAGAGATCTCAAGGCTTTTGCCCTTCCTCGTTGCACCCGTTCTGTGTAGTTTCAGTCACCCCTGCATAGGTTGCTTCATTTTGTTTGGAGGTGTGGTTACCTATTGGAATATTCAGAGAACAAATTTACCACCATCTTTGCAGTCAGAGGTTGGCTCAATCTGTTCATGACAGAGAATGCCAAAGCACCCGATTCTTCTCCCATAAACAAATTAGGGAGCAAATATTGGGATCTACAAACATTCTGTTGCATTAAGACAGAAAGGAAAGGTGTCGTCTGAGTATTTTCCAGGTATCCATTTTCCCCAGCATTGACCAGCGTGTACGGAAAAGGAAAGATGTTTCTTAAAAGTTTATTCACTTTAAGTTTCAATTCTGGGTGTTGTTTGTGGCCTGTGTTTAGATGCGGTTGGTACATACAGTAACCTTTGAGGGTGATAGGTTATCTTCATGGACAAAATAAGCCAATTCAAGCGAAGTTAAAAAAGAAAAAAAAAAAAAAAAAAAACCAGGCAGATTTATTTGGGAATAGGCTCCTGGGCAAGTTCCTGAGCCTCAGGGGACAAGACTGGAGAAAGTCATGGGCAGACCATGGCGGGAAAGTTTTTATAGATTGTAGGCAAAGAAGAATGACATTTCTGCCACACCCTGCACTTGTGCCCAGGTATGGTCAAGTGCGGGGGAGGTGGCTGGGTGGCTGGTGACTTCAGATGAGGGGTGTATTCTCCACAGAACACAAGCATTAAATACAAACAGATAAATGAGAAAGGCTCAGTACAGAGACCCTGGAAGGCTTTCCCTGGCAGTGCAGAGGATCAGGAGGCCCTGGGATTGTTTTCCAGCACTGCAAAAACTGAGTATGGTGCCACGTGGTTGCCTCTTCAGCATTCAGGAGGTGGACACAGTAGGATCAGAAGTTCAAGGTCATCCTCCACTACAAAGTGAGACTGAAGCTACTCTATCTCAACAAAATCAAACCAGACAACAAGAAGTGTCACAATAGTCTCGCCATCCGTCCTATTCTGTAAATTGTGATTTATCCACGTGGCCTCCCGGTGGGGGCTTGGGGCAATGTCTCTGGTCTGTCAGCTCCCGCTGAGAAGCATGGTGGAGCACCGAGCAGCCTCCAGGAGTGAACTCTGCAAGACTGGTTCTTGCAAAGGAGTTTTCCTTGATAATGTTGACTTTTTAGACTGTGAATGTTCGGTTGGCATCTCCGGCTGCCCCCTCCCCCACGTGATCCGGTAAACCTCACTTTCTCTCTCCAACCCTGCCCACTTCGAGGGAAAGCCTCCACATTCCTAGCAAGCCTGGGGACTGCCCCAACCTACTGTAGACACAAGCTCCCTAAGTCCAGTAGGTGGCAGACGGTCATCTTTACCCACAATCCTTCAATGCCCCCTCCCCCTCCCGTCATAGTCGAGGTGGGACTTCCTCTGGCCTCATCCTCCGAGGCGTCAAACTCGCCGAGCAGTCTCAGTTCTCCACAAAACCTGCCCTTTTTGTACTTTTAATGTGGCTTCGGTTGGCTTATTTCGTTGGCAGAGATAACCCATTAGTGAAAATGAATGGTTGTTGCGATAATACAGACTTTCATAGAAATATATCATATTATAACTACTATGAAGGAAATGTAGCAGAGGAAGTCTGCAAAGGAAGCTGACACTCAATTCCCTTCAGTGAGGTTTGTTCCCATGAGAGGGCCCCATGAGGTCATGGGACCTCATGGTGGGATGGAGAACATTGGGCGGAAGCAATATATGGAGATCGATCTGAACTTGATGGGGGCCTTAAAGGGAAGGGGGAGAGAGAGAGGTGCCCCAAAGAGGCGGGTGTGTGGGTTGGGGGGCGGGTAGGAGGCGAGAGGGAGCAAGAGGAGTGGGGAGAGGAAGGGCCCAAGAGGAACCAAAATGTCTGGTTTCTATAGAGCGCCTCTGAGAGGGGAGAAGCCTCACCCCTGGGCTAGAGAATTCGGTGTAGAGGGCAGGGTAAGCCAGCCATACCTTGCAGCAGGTAGGGACCAAGGGAGCTCTGAAACCAAACAGCAGGCTGTGTTAAGTCCTGTAGTGATGTTTAAAATATGAGAAATGTCATCTGTGGTCAAGTGCGTCAGTTCCCATGGGGCCTAGCTGGAACTTGGTGAGTGGTGGCTCTGTCATTTACTAGCCATGTGACCTCAGGGTAGTATTGACTGTTCACAGGCTTTGGTGTTTCCATCCACTCTTAGAGTCAGTGATTTGGCACATGCATTGTTCTTTCAGCTGCATTCAGTAGGTGTCTCATAAATGCTTGCCATCGTCATCAGTTACTTTCTATGATGTCTGATATTGTCACTGGTACCATCTGCAGTCAATTAGTTTTTTTTTTGAGATGGAAACTTACCATGTAGCCCAGGCTAGCCTCAAAACCACCGTCTTCCATTCTCTGCATACTGAGAGTACAGGCTTACATCACTATGCCCAGGTAATCAGAATACACCCAGATATTTATGGGGAATGAAAGCAACCAGAAGAGTTTATGCTATGCTGAATACTTTATTTATATTTTCATGTAAACATAATTTGCTTTGTAGGCACAATATAACAATATAATGAAAGCTCTGAAGCCACGGACACACTAGATGATGTTCGGTTCATTCCAATAAAGCTCAACCTTCCAAGAAGCCTTCGCAGCTCCCTTAAGGCATACAGAGACACTCTCTGCACTTCTCCCAGGAAACAATCTCGAGAGGGGAAGGAGGGGACTTAACACAAGAGTCCACGTGATGACCGACCGATTCCAGTTCTCCCTATCCAACCCTCCTGTTGACCTTCATGGCGATGCTGGCCACACTCAAAATTTTCTCATTCTGTGTTCTCAGGAGGAGAGGTTTCTCATGTATGATCAATAGTTTTAAAGAACAAAACAAAACAAAACAAAAAAAAAACAGATTTGGGGACAGATGACTTCCCATGCTTCTTTGCTGTTCCTGACAGGACCACCTGGCATTCTGAATGTCGGACAGGTTCCATGTCCCCTGAAGGAGAAGCTTCCTGTGACCGGTGGTCCCTGGCCTCTCCAGAAGGCTATTTCTACATACTAGTAATACCACTTTGAGAGTGGTCCTCAGGTCTACCCACCCTTGAACATGGTCACGATGGAAATTGATTGATTATGTGGTATTTAGCAAAGGGCTATCATCTCCCAGAAGTAGAAAATAGAAATCTGTGGTTGGCACTCTTTTTGGCTATTCTCAGCCCTTGGCTTAGTGGCTGACAGTTCCTTTTCTCATCTTCATATTTGACTATCACTGTCACAGTAAGGAAAGAAGGACTACCTTCTGGTAAATATTTGGCATGAAGAAGTCATCATCACAAATCGGGATCGAGATAAAGGAGTAGGATGAATGGCACGAGACTGGCTACAGGGAATTTTGCAAACCAAGCAGGAATGGTGGTGGAAATGTGTTCGTTCCCAGCCCATGAGGGAAGAGTGGGGGCCACCCTAAAACTTGTTAGTGGGGAAAGTAGGCAACACAGGAGCCCCTCCCCCAAGTCGTCAAGAATGTAAAGAAACTTGGAACACTAACTCAAGGTCATTGAGGAGCCCACTCAGGTCCTGCAGAAGGCAAACGTGAGTTCGGGGTGCTAACTGCATGGGTGCCGTTTAGATTTAGTTTGGTTTCTGAGTGACATGTGAACCTTTAGGACAGAAGGGCTGGAAGGTGTCAGTAAGGAGCCTCACTGTGGAGGAAGGGAGACCCCACATCCTCTCAGGTAATGGTTGTCACTTCAAAGCCCATTAATAAGGATGGGGATGGTGTTTTTTCAATATGGAAAATTGGGGTTCAAACAAGCAGTTTGGCCCCTGATTTCTGAGGAACCTGGAAATCAGCACCATGGTTCTGTGTGTTGGAAATGGGGACCACACAGTTGCCATCAGAGGCTGGGCAGCCACCATCTATATCCCTAATGCGCATTGCCCATTAGAATGTGCTCTGAATAGGCAGAAGAAACCAATTGGTTCTTTTTTCAACCCCAAAGGTGGTCTTTAAGGGAGATCTTCCTTGGGAAAGGTATTTCCTGGGCAGGAACTTAAAAATAATATGTGGTAATTCTGAAGGCTGAGAGTGAGAACCCAGGTGACTTTAATGACATATGAGTTAGGTCTACATGTGGTGAGGGTTCTTAGGATTTAAAAAAGCCATGTGTGGCCACAGGGAGGACTTTGCTCATTAGACATGGTTCGGAGGAGAGGTCTCTGTAGCTGGTCTTAGATAGATATTGCTGGCCCATCTCTATTCTGGAAAGGACCTACATTTGCCTCCTTGGCTGTATCAACAAGAGCCAGCGAAGAGGATTAAAGAGAGGCTCAGATCTTAACATGTGGTGGCGGGGTCGTGAATACTCCTCCTGGTCTAGTATCTTGCTACTAGCTAAACTGAAGAGTGCCACAGGTGAAGGCATGGCTGATTGCTGGGAGGCAAAGAGTGTCACTGGCCTGAAGAATGATGGGGTCTGGACAGGGCTCTGTGACAACACCTTTCAAATCAAATGCGGCCTTGCCCCTTGTCCGGTTTCTGACCTGGGGCTCTATGAGCTTGTATGTATTTGCAAGGCTATTCTAGAACCATCAAGGACCCAAAGAAGGATGGGTTTGATTCGAGGGAGAGAGGAGAGTGTGGTACACAGACTGGGAAGGGACACAATACTGCATGTAATGGGATTGGCACTTAATTCCAAACACAACAGTGATCAACAGCTTCTTAGCTCGGCTGACTGCAGACAAACACGACACGCACTGGACTACAGCATTGGTTCACTGGGGCACGGAAGAGTTCTCGTGGTGGCCATCTTCTTCCCAGCCATCCTCCACCTTCTGGGATATGAGGTCTGGCTTACTGGATGAAGGGCATCCTCTCCTTGTTCTCACTGTCACCTTCATGGTCCTCTTCCTCCTCGCCTGCCTCGCTGGTCTCTGTGCTATCATTGGCCATCTGCAATTCAACAGAGATCATGATGGAGGTCATGTACTCACCCCCTCACCATCTCGGAGCATCGAAAGAAGCATTATGGGATGGGCCTCTTTCAGAGTGGTCATTCCCACACAAGAAAGTGCCTTGGAGGACCCCTTTTAGCCCTTCACTTAACACCTGCTAAGGCCCTGCTACTTCCTCTAAAGGCTTCAAGGAATAGCTCCGAAGATGACCTGACTGGACCCATCACAAATGTCATGATGCCCTAGACTTAGTCTGACTTCATGCTGTCTTCTCTTCAATTCTAGTGTTCAGCTATTTTGCTGAAGTGAAATAGTTGGCCAGGGCATCTCTAGAACCTTCTATGCACAGGGCTGAAAGAGACCTATTTACATAGGCCACAGGATATGGGAGTCCTGGGACCCCAGTCCCTTCTCCCTCACTTCATGCTTTCATTTCCCCTCCAATTGTCCTGTGACTTCGTACTTTAAAAACTATATCTATATTGTTAGCAGCAGCTTAAGTATCACAAAGTGTCCCCTCCTTTGACTGACTTGTACGGAGTGAGATGGCCATCGTACCCGAGCTGTGTTATGGCTACAGAAGGCAAGGATCTGTTTCTGAACATGCACACTTGGCCTGAGAGCTACGGATCATTTTAGTCCCTTTTCTTGAAAGTGACAAATACTACTACAAGACTAGTGGCTCAGCGAAGACTCTCAGAGCAACGGCAAGCCTCCATGCTTTCTTTGTTTGGCTTACCCAGAGCCTAGGATGGTCAGCCACGCTCCGTGACAGCCTTTCTAACTGACCGTGAGCAACCTGTCAATCTCTAGCCCCTAAACAGGACCAAAGATGGAGTGCAAAGCAAATTTCCCAGGCTGCAGATGGACTGAGCACTGGGTTTTGAATGCATGCAATCTGAGAGTCTGTGCATTGCCGGCTACACCGAATGCTGCCCCTCCCCCAAAGCAGCTATGTTGGGAACAGGTAATTCCGATGTGCCGTATTCTTGTGGGTTGGCCATCGGGATATTAGGGTTTTATCCCGGTGAGATCAAGTGAGTGAACGCAACAGGAGCAGCAGGGAACATCCTGCAGGCATCTGGCACCATATTTCGTGGGGCACATGCATACCCATTGTTTAGGATTAATTAGGAAGCCTTCCCATTGGGAGCAGCCTAGGGATAGCAACTGTAAAAGACCCTTTTCTATCCATTCCTGTCTGCCCTCCCTCAGCAATTGTCCTGTCCACTTTCACCTCAGCCCGTGGCTAATCCCTCATTCTGAAAGCATCCTATCACTCCTGGACTCGGTGAGCTTATAAACTGCCTGCATTTCCTCCTGCATCAGCTGTGACTACCCCGACGACCCATCGATTTGTCGTTGGTGTTGAGCTGGGTAGTCTCCTCTGCCTTCCACTTACCAGCGGAGTTGGGGTCTTCTCCACGTCGAGAATTAACTTCCCGATGTTCCCTCGGTCGTGGATGCGCTGCATGGCCTCCTTTACCTGAGACACAAGGTGAGACATTAGTGAGGTGTGGCTCCTGGATAACGGGCCTAAAGAGCTCAATTAACCGTCCTTCCACCAGAGGGCGATGAAGCCCAAAGAGTGGTTCAGCCGTAACTTTTTGTGGCGCAAATATTTGCCCTGAGTCAATAATACACGCTAACCTGTCCTGTAAGTCATATATATGTCAGAGTGGTCTGACAGAACGTTAAACAATAAGAGTATTTGTGGGGTCATCTGACGACTGCCTACTTAAGTGTTGCTTAACTCTGATTCATAATTTGGCTAAATAAACCTGTTACCAGGGCTGAGCCGCATTTGCAAAATTCCCATGCTTTCTAGTTGCCGGGATGAAACTGCTTCCACCTAGCAGGAACTCTCTTCAGAGAAGCATCCTCCCTCTAAAGGAGGATCTATGGTTTCCTTCCCCTTGTTCAGGTGCTTGTCAAGCTCGTGAATGTCCCTGGGGGCTGGGTGGGAGATGATGAAGAAGTACAGGACCCTCTGTGAAAGGATTGTTGTAAAGACACAATCCTGTTTCTTCGGAGCCTTTCCTGCGCCTGTGCAGAAAGTGAACTGTAGGGAGCACTGTAGGGATTAATGGAGAAGAGGCTGAGTCTCGTAGGCCCGCCGCATTGTAAGTGAAATCTACGCGGAAGGCAACATTTCTTGCCTCACAAAAGTCAATTTATAAAAATTTATAATAGGCTGAGTCTAAATATTTTTTGTAAAGTCTCACAATTTCAAATATGCTTGTTCCTTCAGCCCACGAGTATTCAGTAAATGTTGCTTCAAGGCTAGATGCTATGACATTAAAAAAAAAAAAAAAAAAAAAGAGTAAAAAAGTCAGACATAGTTAGCTGCGTGTGAGGAACTCAGCCTGTGGCTGATGGAAAAGCGTTTGCTTATTTGAAAACCAAGGGCTTCTATTCATTTGGATCCAAACTCACAGAACCATTAAAATGTTTGTGTTCAAATTGCTTTTCTGGGACTTTTGAGACACAATTCCATTTATGGGAGAAAAACATAAAAGATAATGACTGAATTGCTTTTAGTGGCAAAACACTGAAACAGCTTATATGTCACAGTAAAGGGATGGGTAAATAAACAATGGTTTTTACATTCATCTACCGAATGGAAATATTGCATAGCTGTTAAGAAAAGAAAGATATATGCCACTAATTATAAAGGAGACACAGCAGGATTGAATGCTTTTGTAATCTTGCTAAATGAGAAAGCCAACAGGAATACTTTTATTTACACCTCTATAAAAAAAATGTAGGTATTTTAAAATAACAAGGAAGGCTTGTAGGTATACATTGAAAGTTAGGTGGAGGAGAGAAGGGTGTTTCCACTCTGCTGTCCAGTCCAAATAATGTTATGTGGTACTAGGGTGTCAAATCAACATTTAATATAAGTTCAATGCACCTTTCAAATGCAAAAGTCCCCCCCACCCCCACATACACATACACTTTGGTCAGTTTGTAGTGTGAAACAATCTCCATTTTGTAGACTAATAGTGTCATGTGATTGTTAATTGTTTTTGACCTTGATAAACAAACCAGTCGAATGTAGACTGGGGCTAGGACCTGCCTCCCTGCAGAGCACAGCAGAAGTGATGGGCTCCCCCTTCCGAGACCAAGTTAAAAAGGCTACAACATACTCTCCCGAGGCTTGCTGCATTAATGGGGTCGCCCTGTGAATCCCCACAGGACAGAGACCTGAGACATGACACGTTTCATCCTATAGCCAGTCAGGAACTGTGACACCCCCACCCCCAGCCCCTCTGAAGATCTGAATCTTACCAGCAGCCCCCAAAGAACTTAGAAGCAGATACTGATTCAGCCGAACCTTGAAATGAGATTATATCCCAGCTGTCATCTTGACTGTAGCTTTGTGGGAGCCAAAGGACCCGGCTAAGTCACACCCAGCTCCTGGTACCCTATTCCCAGCCTATGAAATCACAAGTACTCTTCAAGGTGACTCTTTTTTGGGAGGTGTAAATGAAGTAAAACGTATTTAACACACTCCTTCCTTGCATACATGATACTTAGCTGGCAAGATAGGTACAGTGAGCGGCCATTTTAAGGATACGTACCCTGAGGCTAGTGAGCATAAGTAATTCATTCAAAGATTACATGGCTATGGGGAACAGAAGTGTGGTTCAGAATCAGGTCGGATAGAATTCAAAGGCAGCATTTCCCCCTCAGTTTTACCTAGAGTGGACTGTTTCACTTGAGGTCTCTCAGAATGCTCCTTTTAGGTACTAGGAACCCTGGGTACCCTCTGTATACCAGGCAAATATTCTGCCACTAAGTCCCCTTAGCCCCTTGATGGTGGATTCTGGCAAAGCTTTTGACCACTGCCCCCATCCCCTCACTGTCGGATTCCAAGCAGGTGCTCTACCGCTGAGCTCTGACCAAGCACTCTACCACAGTGCCACATTCCTAGACTTTTCCTGATGGTTTCTAGCCAAGCACTGTGATGCTGAGCCAAAACCCCCAGCCCCTTACTGGCAGATGGTAGGCAACTGTTCTACCAGTGAGCCATGTCCCTAGTCCCTCCCTGATGGATTCTAGGCAAGTGCTTTACCACCGAGCCACACCCCCAGCCTTATGTTTCTCAGGGTAGCCTGGAACTCAGTCTGTAGACCAGGGAGACGAGTTTGTAATCCTCCTGTCTCAGCATCTGGAAGTGCCAGAATGCCAGGAGACAGTTAGGCATACTTTAGGCTGCTTTTGTACTAAGCTGGGGTCCAGAAAAATGCAAAGAGCTGTTTTCACACTCGTTAAAAAGTGGATCATGATGCTTGAGGGGTTGGGAGAAGCCCCCTGTAGGGTTGCCTTTAATCTGCACACTTTTGGAAGTTTCTCTCCGAAATGAGACATCGCCTTGAAGTTCTGTCTACGGAAAATGGATAAAGGGCCCTGAAGTAACCTCTAGAGGTCCCTTAATTACCCTCACCCCAGTCACGCTGTTAGAATCTACGTGCTCTTTCACGAATGCTCCTGGAGTTGTGTGGGAGCCCCAGTGGCAGAGGCTTAGGAGGAAGAAGACGACTACTTTTGATCAATTCTTTATCAGGCACAGTGTGTAGCATTTTGCACTCGTGGAGCTATTTCGTCCACACGCTGAGTTTCTTGAGGGAATGTTTGCAACAGCTTTTCACAGACCAGAAAGAAGCACAAGGAGGGGGCTTCTGAGAGGCTCGCCTCTGGCTGTCACTCAAAAGGGAGAGCAGAGTGGGAGGCGTGAGTGACATCTGTTTCTTCACTGTTTCTGGGCAGAACCCATGACAGTGCTGTACTGGCCACACCCCCAAGACTGCCCTCTGCTGACTTGTACATGGTAGAGTCTGAACAGAGACTTTGCTATCGAGTTACCGGTTCATAAAAGGTCTCCTAATAGGTTACGTTCTCCAGATGTTTGATAAGCACCCGAGGAGATCCGTCTTCCTGGCATTTACCAGAAAGGCTTTCCTAATGCACCTTTGTGTTTGAAAGCAAAATTGCATTAAAAAGAAAGGCGTGTGGGCTCTCATTGTCTAATCCAGTAGCCACAGATCACCTGAGACAATGGCACTTGGTGGGGCATTACAAGACTTCTAAGATTCAGTAGTTATTCTGGATATCAGCCCTCTGTCAGATAGAGGGTTGCTGAAGATCCTTTCTCAGTCTGCAGGCTGTCGTTTTGTTCTGAGGAGAGTGTCTTTTGCTTTACAGAAGCTTTTCAGTTTCATGAGGTCCCATTTATTGATTGTTAATCTTAGAGCCTGTGCTGTTGGTGTTCTGTTCAGGAAGTTGTCTCCTGGGCCAATGAGTTCTAGGCTGTTCCCCACTTTTTCTTCTAACAGATTTAGTGTGTCTGGTTTTATGTTGAGGTCTTTGATCCATTTGGACTTTTGTGCAGGGTGGTAAGTATGGATCTATTTTCATTTTTCTGCATGTAGACATCCAGTTGGGCCAGCACCATTTGTTGAAGATGCTGTCTTTTTTTCCATTGAATGGTTTTGGCTTCTTTGTCAAAAATCAAGTATCCATAGGTGTGTGGGTTTATTTCTGGGTCTTCTATTTGGTTCCATTGATCCACTATTCTGTTTCTATGCCAATACTAGGCAGTTTTTATTACTATTGCTCTGTAATAGAGCTTGAGAAGAGGGATGATATCCAGAATATATAAAGAACTAAAGAAGTTAAAAAGCAACAAATCAAGCAATCCGATTAAAAAATGGGGTACAGAGTTAAACAAAGAATTCTCAGTAGAGGAATACAGAATGGTGGAGAAACACTTAAAGAAATGCTCAACATCCTTAGCCATCAGAGAGATGCAAATCAAAATGACCCTGAGATTTCACTTGACACCCATCAGAATGGCTAAGATCAAAAACTTAAGTGACAACACATGATGGAGAGGTTGTGGAGAAAGGGGAACCCTCCTCCATTGCTTGTGGGAATGTAAACTTGTACAACCACTTTGGAAATCAATCTGGCACTTTCTCAGACAATTAGGAATAGTGCTTCCTCAAGATCCAGCTATCCCACTCCTAGGCATATATCCAAAAAATGCTCAAGTACACAACAAGGACATTTGCTCAACCATGTTTGTAGCAGCTTTATTTGTAATAGCCAGAACCTGGAAACAACCCAGATGTCTCTCAGTTGAGGAATGGATACAGAAATTGTGGTACTTTTATACAATGGAATACTACTCAGCAATTAAAAACAAGGAAATCATGAAATTTGCAGGCAAATGGTGGGACCTAGAAAAGATCATCCTGAGTGAGGTATCCCAGAAGCAGAAAGACACACGTGGTATATACTCACTTGTATAGACCTCTAAGATAGGATAAACATACTGAAATCCATTCACCTAATGAAGGTAAACAAGAAGGAGGACCCGGGGTAAGATGATCAATCCTCACTTAGAAAGACAAATGGGATGGACATTGGATGTAGGAGAAAACAAGTAACAGGGCAGGAGCCTACAACAGAGGGCCTCTG